TCTGAATGATGTGGCATAGCTTTAAAAAGCAGATTAAAGAAATGATTCAAATGTGAGACTAAGCTTAATAGTTAAAAAAAAAAAAAAGAGCAAGGTACATTTTCCCTCTAACAGAAGCCTGTGGCATTAAATGCCTTGTTAACAAACCTTCTGGGGGAAGATCTTTGCAAGATCCTGAAACCTATCCTTTTCTTTGTTCCCCATTCTCAGGAAAGAACCAAATCAACCCTGCCAATGAGATGTCCAGCCAGTACATGATATCTGCTTTGAGTCTCACTCTCCTGCCCTTGTTTGTTATTATTATTTTTATTTTATTTTATTTATTTATTACTATTATTTTTTTTTTTTTGCAGTTTTTGGCTGGGGCTGGGTTTGAACCCGCCACCTCCAGCATATGGGGCTGGTGCCCTACTCCTCTAAGCCACAGGCACCGCCCTTAATATTATTATTTTTTACTATTTTTTCTTCTGCAGTTTCAGTTTCTTCCAGTTGTTGGTATAAAGCCGATACAGATTTTGAAAATCTGCCCCTTACTTTTTCCTCTTTGGGTTGCTGTAATTTCCATATATTGATCTTACGTTTGTTAGACTCTCCTTTTGCTCTGTTTGTCCTGTCTTAAGTGCCAAATGTGTTTTGGGGCTACTGTCTACATTTCTGATCTGTGTAGCTTGTGGTCCATTATATAGTTGGAAACTTGAGTCCTGGTTCTGCTTCTTAGCAGCTCTGTCATTTCAGCTGAGTTGCTCGGCTCTCTGAGGATGAGTATCCACTATTCTTTTTTCTAACATGTGGACAACATGAGCAATTGAGAGGATTCAATGTAAAAAAATCTGTGAAGCCCCTAACAGAGGGCAACAGAGTAGATGTATTCCCCCCTTTCCCTTCACTAAGTCACTGTTGTAAAAATGGTGTCCTGTCTGCTATGAATACATGGTTATGTTTTCCTTCTCCTCATGACCAGCCTCTCTTCTGTTTATCTTAGTGAAATATGTTAATAGGAAGATTAATGTATTATTCAGGACATCCCCTTTATTAGGAATTTATGATTATTCTGTCAGGGCCCAGGCTGAAATTTACTTTGTCAATCTAAGCTTATGGGAGGGGGAAAGTGAGGCCAAGGTGAGAGGTGAGGCATGATCTGACCCAATTTGTGCCCAGAGCTACTTTTGTGAAATGCATGATATTGATTTTGTTTCATATTAAATACTATATAACTGATAAAATGGTATATGTTGGGAGGGCACTTGGATTAATTAAAAAAAGAATCTGTACCATTTTGATGTATGATGGCATCCATATAGGCTTTGCAAGGAGCGGGGGTGGGAGACCAGAGGATTTCCTAAATGTATCCACAAATTCCACACATTTGGTGATTATGCAAGAGCCATTACATCTGGCTGTTTTATATGTTTGGGGTATGTCTATTACTGCCCTTTCATCCATTTAGTTTACACGAACTTCACATTTCCCCATTTAAACTTTGGATCTAAACATTGAGCCTGTCATTAATTTTATAAAAACTTTCCATGGTTTCCTGTTAAATAAAGAATAACATTGGAGTTTTCTATATAAAGATCATTACCTTGTTTAATTTTACGATTGTGTAACAGAAATAATAGAATAGTATGGGGGAATTGAAGATTAAGTAAAAATTCAGCCTGATATAAACAAGTTTGGGTATGTATCTCAGATCTCTAACAAATAAGGTTTCTTAAAAGAGAATAGAGAAATAAACATTAAGACCTAAAAAGAGACTTCAGGGCTGTCTCCCAAGAGCTCCCCTATGCAGACCTCCTTTGCTTTGGCAGATGTGCCCTGTGACTTCCCAGCATCTGCTCCGCCTTCTACCTTAGAAGGGTGCTGGATGGAAGGGGAGAAGACCAGGAGTGAAGGGATCCCATCCTGGCCACCCACTTACAGAGCTCTATAGCATCAGGTGAATGATTACTCCTGTGGATCTCAGTTTTCTGATCTGTAAATTAGAATAATGTTTTAATTTACCAGACTGTTTCAGGATTTAATTAAAACCTCAGTTTCTTAGAATCTATAATATAGATTGGTACCTGGAGATACAGCAATGGTCATGTGACTGTGGGAGGTGCTGAATACCTCATACAGGTTTGGCCATAAAGTCCGTATGCAATTTAAAATTTTCCTGTTTTAAATTGCTCATGAACTTTATGGCTTACACTATATTAGTACTGTCCAGTCATAATACAAGAAACCCATGTGCCGGGCAATGCTGAACTGGCAAGTATAAAAACCATCAGTTCCCTCACAATCTTACTATTCTAACTACGTATTTAAGTTCCTGACATAGACTAAAGAGAGGAGCTGGTATCAGTGATGGGGAGGAGAAGAGGAGGGAAGAAAGGGGCAGGGGAATCAGGTCCACACCAGCTTAGATCAAGTCCTACACAGACCCTAGGCCAAAATCATTCCAGAGCTTTGGATGGTGATTCTGAATCACCAATCTTTAAAGAAACATTTTCATCTCCCACCTAACCCCTTTTGAATAAAAAAAGTGTATTTGGAAGCAGGGCAGGAGTAAAGAATTGAGGTGAAGAAAACATTTTCAGTTGTACTTAGAATACATCAAAAGTAGTTAAATTCTTCTTTTCGGTGAATGGAGAGGCGGAAAGTATGGGTTTCCCGGCAAAGTATGAGAGATATAAAATGTTTTCTTCTTTCCTTCACAATGATAAAGACAGTAATGAAGAAAGAAAATGCCTTGGAAAATGAATAAAGAGAAAGCAAATACCAAGTAAAGGGTTGACTGTGGTATCCTTAGTAAACAAAATGAATGAATGAATAAATAGAAACCACAAGAGGGAAAATATAGACTTTGATACTTTGTGTTTGCAAAAGGACAGAGATGATTCCTTTCTGCCAAATTAGAAACTTTAATAATCAAACATTGCATTTGTTTTTATATTCATGGCATCAGTTCAATTTTTCATTAATTAAATGAGCAAATTAAGGAATGCCCATTTTAAGAAACTGCTCCAAAAATAACCTTGTAAAATCAGGTTAGAGTACACTGTATGCCCTGAGGGCAGCAGAAAGCCAAAGGGAAAATATGAAATTGGAAAATGACCTATAATAATCACTTCACTGGTAAAGATGATATAACCTCTATTATCAATCAGGACCTAGTTTGATGTCTAATTTCAGTGACTGTCTAATTCATCAAATTAAATTAAGTACAAATGAGGAAATACTTGGCCAGAGAAAAAGGTACTTTGCCATGTGGCTTTCTATCAACTGAAAACCAATCCATTAGCACAGACAGCAAAAACTAAGATCTCATACCTTATTGGAGGAGAAAAAAGTAAAAGGAATTTTCTTCCCCAAACTGGCCTGGCAAAGATATTTTTGATTGAAAAAACGCAGATTTCCTGTTGCTTGCTATATTTCAGAATGGAGAAATGATTGAGTTTTTCCCTTCATTTATTCCACCACAATTTAAGTGCTCATTCTGTGCCAGGTTCAAATCATTGCTTTGCAGACTAAATGATGCCTTGTAGATTTGCAGCTGCGTGTCTAATGCATCAGTGCCACCCCCTTTCATGGCTCACGGATTAGCTGAGAAGTTGTTAGATGCTCCACTATTCTCTGCAGGTGTTTGAAGACAAGGATTCACTGACAGGAGATGCTCCAAGGCTGCAGCCAAAGCATCACCAGTCCTGCATGTTTCCACACACACTTGGCACTACCAACAATGTAGATGCTTTCCTGACTCTCTGGTCTGCCCTGTGCTAAAATTTATCCTGAGCAAGTGGGAACTTGAGGATATGGTGCATTTTTTGAAGCAGGGGCAACAGAGGTTATTTAGATCTTTAAAGGAGGAGCCCTGCAGGGGAAGTCTGACCTGGGCAAGCTGCTAAACCCCTCTGGGCCCTGGTTTTTCTCACCAATAAGTGAAGGTTTGGGGAAGGGATGCTTTGATCTCTGATATTTCTTATTTTTCTACTGAAGCTCACATTTCAGCATCTGACATTTTTTCCCCCAGTTTCCTTAGAAATGGGAAGAAGAATGGGCTGAACTTTTTGTAAATGACTCACAAAACAGGGAGTTTGACAAAGAAAGAAGTCACTCAGCCTACCTTACCTGGACCTTCTCTCTGCCCTCCTTTCCTTGCTTTTGCTCATCTGGCACCTGCTTCCTTAGTTCCCTTATATGAGTACAATCTCATCATTCCTGGTGTGACAGTGTGTGCCTGGCAGCAGCTACTATTTAGAACAACCTTTCTTTATTTCGCTGACTTACCAATTCAAATTTTCAAATGGGCCCTTTCTTCTCTATGTACACTTTTAAATCCCTTCTTTTTACCCTTTGTGAAACGACCTTCTACTTAAACCTAGCTCCTTCTGTTCTAAATTTCATACACACATTTCTTATGTAATCTTGAAACACTTAATTCTAGAAAACTCTATATTATTTGAATGAAAAATATCAACAATACAGAAGCCATTCTGTTCTCTATTATTCATTTACTTGCCTGAGTAGATATCTCCATATAGCTATATAGACTAATATTGGCCTAAGCACTTAGCTACTAAAAGAATAACATGTGTACTCTGTATCTCGATGTTTTATACTTTGATAGAGTGGATACTACAAAAAAGAGTCAGGTTTAAGCAAAACTATTACAGAAAAGAATATGACATATATAATATATTAAATGTATATGTATATGTTTGCTGTTTAGTTATTCATGGGATATAGTAATATATCTTTTGTCTTCATATTACCCCCTACCCCAACATTAGGTTCTGGTCAGTGCTTTTTAAAATATAGAAATCCTGTTCATCAAAATATCTTAATTAAAATAAGCATCTTTTTCCCTTAGAAAGTGAATTCAAACAATTTAGGGCCTAGCTTTAAAAAGCAACATGCTATAGCTGATTTATTTTTGGTTGTTGTTTTTATGGATAAGAAAAATATTACCACTGTAACTAGCAAGAACTATAAATGATACATTATTGCAAGTGTTCTAGAAAATCAGAACAAAACTAATTTATTATAGTTCTGTCTTCATTATACACCACATGTTGGTGAGTTGAACACAACAAAATTATTGTCTTTTTTTTTTAAAAGTGTCTACTAAAGATAAAAAGAATAAGGTAACAATTAACATGTAGTTTGTTACATTAAAAAATCTGATATACATATTTCTATTGCCTGTTAGCTTGTTCTAAGCCTCTTTAACTATTACAAAAGAAAGAGAAGTCATTGTTCAAAGGCAAACATTCAATTCAGTTGATACAACATTACAGTACAGTCAACTAACATCATTCAACAAAGGTAACAAGTCTAGCCTTAGCTTGAGTTAAAAGTCTGTAGACCAGATTGCTACAAAAGGTTCAATGCTGCTTCAAAACTGTTATATAACTTTTTGGAGGACATGGTTCTTTCTACTGATGGCTTCAGAAGAAGGGGTCATGCTACTGGTCAAAGCACAGGGGAACCCCCAACCTGTCATTAATCATTTTATTGAGCACTGTAGTTAGAACAGCATTATTGAGTTTAGCACAACAAACTAAAGTAAATAATAATAATATCATAATAATCATAATAATGATAAGAATAAAAAAACCCCACAAACTGGAAGCCTGGAGCTGCTGCCAGTCGTGTCAAACTCTTGCGATACGCTATACTAAAAAAATTTGAAATATCCACCCGTCCTCTCCACTCTGCCACAAACTAGCAAAGTCAAAAATACAAAAGTCTTCAACTTGTTACTTTTGCAGAATAAAGCAAAAACGTCTTTGTGCTCCTTACTACCAGAAGCAAAATATCCTCTGAGTTACCACATGTAATAGCTTCTGGATGTGTCAACCTGGGTTGGCTTGGTGTCTGCAGAACCATCTTTGTCCTTCTCGCTGTCGCCTTCCCAGAGGTTAATGAGTGGTGGGTATAGCTCATTTAGTGGGATTGAAGAGGTTTTTTGCATATACTTTTTTAGTGAATGGTGGTAATTTTTTCTCTTAAATCTTTTGGCAAAGTACACAGCAATGGACGCAAGGCTAATGACAGCAAACATGGACCCCATTACTGCAGCAAGGGCTGTACTGGTTTCTTGATCAGAGATGTCCAGTGCGAAGGCGGCATTTTTGGTTGTGACGTTTACGCAGGACTTTTGAGTCTGCTGATGAATATTGGACACTGTCAGACACACTTCATAATCTGTGGATGGCTGAAGATGTGTTAGGTTGTATTCATGAACATCTACTGGGACTCTGGCAGTATATGTTATATGGGGGTTGTCAATCTTCACAGTAGCAGTTGACCATTTTAAGTTTGATGTCATGACGTTGGAATTAACTTTCCAGGACACTAAAATGGAATGGGATTCTGTCTGCTTGACATATATTTTTAGCACCTGAGTACCATCCAGAAGGGTTCCATTAACCTTAATTGTTGCTACTCGAGTGTCTGCCCCTTGGACATTCTGGGCAACACATGTGTATCTTCCTGAGTCTTCAATTTGTATGTTAGATATTTCCAGAGTGCCTTCACTACTTAGCTTGTATTTTTCTGAAAGGGTTTCTATAGTTATCTTATTTCCAATGGGAGTGACCCAATAAATTTCAGGTTCTGGCTCAGCCATGGCCCGACAGTCTAGGAAAACTGTTGTACCAATATCCATGTTTAAGTGATTTGGAAATGTGTCATGAGATATCATTGGGAGGCACTGTTCACTTGAATCCTGGATTAAAACTTCCTTCACCTGCTGCCCTTTGTATTCCGGCGGCATAGCACAGAACATGGATAAGGGCTCCATGAAGCGGATGTTTGTTTTGTTGGAGTTAATCCAATGGATGACACAATCACACCTCAGGGGATTGCTGTGGATACTGATCTCACGAAGATTGGGAAGAGATTCGACTGTCTTTTGATAAACGGCATTCAAGGCATTATTGTTCAACATCAAGCTTTCCAGGGCAGGAACACTTCGAAAAGCCAAGCGGTGGATATAAGATAGTTTGGGATTATTGGTGGCTTCTAACTTTGTGAGTTCAGGCAAGTTATCTAGGGCATACCGGTCAACAGAAACGAGTTCCCCCATATTATTGATACCCAGTTCCTTTAACCGTAGCATATTTTTGAAGTCTCCCTCTTGGATTTTGTGAATGGGGTTTTTATTGAGGTCTAAGAATTTCAAATTTGGAACCTTTTGCAGGGCTAATTGAGGGACTTTGACCAGTTTGTTATCATAAAAAGACAGGCTCTCGAGGCTATCCAAGCCTACCAAGGCATTTCCAGGAATATCAGTGAGATACATTCCTGCCAAAACTAAGCTTCTCAAATTTGAGAGGGGTTTGAAGTTCATGTCCAGAATTCCAATCACAGGGTTTTCTCCAATCATGAGAATTTCCAGGTTGGGGGTAGAATCAAACCAGCGACTATCAATAACCTTCAATTTATTAGAGTTCAGGTGAAGCCTTAAAAGATTTTTTAAGCCTGAAAAAGCATTAGCAGAAATAGTGCTAATCTGGTTGTGGTTGATGTAGAGTTCTTGAAGGTTGCTGAGGTCTTGCAGACAGTAATCAGTCATTTCTGTAATCTGATTTTCCTCCAAATGCAGAGTGGTGAGCTGGGTCAGGTTTGCCAGCCCTACTTCCTTAATATTTGTAAAGTTGTTTTGGGAGAAATCTAGCTCAGTCAAGTTGAAAAGCTGCTGCAGCTCATCCACAGTCTTTGCAATGTTATTGCTCTGTAAGAGAAGCACTTGTGTGTCACTAGAAAGGTTGCTGGGAATCCTTGTTAAGCGGAGATCATTGCAGTCAACGGTGGTGGCTTCTCTGTATGTGGACTGTGGGGTAAACCAGGGACGGATTTCACATACACACAGTTGTGGGCACTCGCTATTCTGCATGGAAGACTCAGTTAATGAAGTCATTAGCAAGCCCAGCACCAACTGGCAAGCTACTCCAACAAAGCTCATCCTAGCCATGTTGGTTTGCTGAGAAACCCCAATTTCTGACACTTGTAAATTTTAATAAAATGTGAACACTATACAGTGATGTGTAGGACAGCAAGGAGAAAATGTAAACATTCAAACAAAGTCTTGGCTGAGAGGTGTAGAGTTCCAGAGTCTGAAGGGATGGTTTTCTGGAGTTCTCAAAAGGCAGGAAGCAATTTGGAGTCTTTTACCTGTGTCTCTCAATTCCAGGCACGTGCACAGCCAAATCCAAGTCTGGAGATGTACCTGAAAATGAGATTAGGACAGATGTTATGTCCTTTCCACACACTTTCTATATTATAGCTTTTCTTCTATTTACGAAAAAGGCATAGTCATTCAAAAATCTAATAACAGAAACATTCAAAAGCCATTCAAAATAAGCTTTCAAATTGCAGGACACTGTTACTATATCCCACTTACTACACTAAAACTAGTTTCCATGTTCCTTCACTGTTACAACTAAATTGAGACTGCACTGGGAATTGGATAAAGTCATTAAACATGCTCGCAAACACACCAGTGCACACCCTCCTACACACACTTAGTAGGAATACTCAGGAAAGCCCTCAGAGGTCATTTCTTTAAAAACAAAGACTAATTTAGAAACTAGATATAGCTCTAAAAATTTAAAACCTCATGTCTATTAAAAGCAAACATTAAAGGTAGTTTGTTAAAGACTCAAAGCTCATTTCTACTTATTTACATTTTAATTAATGCTTCATTTGTTTCCAGGAATTCTTTCTCCTCTGAATGGAAGAGAAATGTTATGCAGATGTATTCAGCCAATACTTTTTTAGCTCAACTATTCTTATATAAAAGGTTAATTTAACATAACTATGAAAACATTAGTTTTTGCTACACTGTAATCATCACATCAGATCTTGACTGAATAAAATAATAAAAGGACTCTATTCCATCATGCCACTGGTCTCCACTAAGTACCCAGACATGCTTTATACATTTGTATATATCTCACATATATGATTACAGCAATAGCATGAGAATGTGACTGATCAATTAATAGATGTAGACCATGGATATGTTTATTTAACTTCTTGAAGCTTCAGTTTCTTCAACTATAAAATGGAGTTGGACATACATATAAAAGAATCTCTCTCATAGGACTGAGAAAATTAAAGAAATCTATGTAAAGCTGTTAGCATAATGACTGGCCATACCAAGTGCTCATAAAAGTTAATTATACTTGTTATTTATTGTCACCTTATTATATCTGTCATCTATTTTAGTTTAAGTTTTGCTGGGGATCCTTGTTAAGTGGAGATCATTGCTATCAACAGACAAGAAAAGCTGCAAATAATAGAAATTGAAACCAATATCTATTGGTTTCAGTAAGATCCTCTGAGGTCAGGTATTTATTGCTCATCTGCTTCCAAAGATAATATTAGTGGTTAATAGTTATAGTTTTCTGCATTCCAGTCAGGGGTAAAAAGCCATTATGGATCTAGTGTTTGTTTTGTTCTCCAGAATTGAGCCACTCATTTGTTAAGGTATTCAAAGTAGAGATTTAGCTTTCTTGACATTTGTCTCCCTGTGGTACACTTCAGTTTTTTGAGTACTGAAGAGATTTCAGGGACTAGTCATCGTCTTTACCTCGTAAGATTACTAAGAGGATTCAATGTAAAGCCCAGTGTTCAACACATAGCAAGCTCTCAATTCATGGTAGCTGCTACTGTTGTCCTTTTTACTTTGCAAAATAGCCAGTACGAAATTTTATATATTTAAGTCAAATTTTAGTTTAAAGAAAGAAAAAGTCCTACAATGTTCTTGTTGTTTTATAAAATATTCAAGCCATGTTACTGGTCAAACAAGATAAAAATCATCCCATCATCTAGTTTCTGGAAAGTCTGAGGTAGGAGGAGGAAATGATTGCATGATTATGCTGTGTGATCCTGGATGCTGCTCATCTCTGGGGGGGAAAACACATTTGTCATTTCTATCTCTGCTTCCCACCTGCAAATCTGGTCACTTTACTATCAATTATGCAGGCACGCACCACACAATGATGTTTTGGCCAATGAGAGACTGCATATACAATGGTGGTTTTATATGATTATAATTCAAATTTTTTTACTATACCTTTCTTGTGTTTAGATACACAAATACCTACCGCTGTATTACAACTGCCTACATTATTCAGGGCAGTTGCATGCTGTTTGTATCCTAGAAACAATAGACTGTACTATGTAGCCTAGCTGTGCAGTAAGCTATACCACCTAGGTTTGTGAAAGTACACTCTATGATGTTTGCGCAAGGATGAAATCATCCAATAACCCAGTCCTCAGAATATATTTTCATTGTTAACTGATGCACGACTATATTTGCAAAACTTTTCAATAATAAGACTTGCTGACTCTGACTTTTATCAGGAAATTCTATAAAATGAAAACATACCTCAGAGAATAACATTTTACAATTATTATTAACTCCATAAATTTATTCTACTCTTGTTTCTGTTTAGAGCTGTCCTAAAACAGGTCGCAATGGCCACAATAAATGTTAGGAAAATTTCTTCCACTGTCATTCTTCAATCTTAATTTAAAATGAAAAAGAATAAATGTATCTTTCATAACTGAGATAGAATTTCAATTAATTTTAAGGTTTTGATTAAATTTAAGAAAATGTACCCCAAACTAAAATACGTATTAAAATCATTGAGACTCCCCAGTTTATTACTATTATAAAAAGCTTTTGTGGGCTATAGCTTGAATATTCTTATAGGGAATACTCCCATTTTAGTTTAAATTATATGATTTGAGGTAATTATATTGAAATATTCAAGCTATGTTTGACATATACATATGTCTTTTTTTTGGAGACAGAGTCTTACTTTTATTGCCTTTGGTAGAGTGCCATGGCATCATAGATCATAGCAACCTTAGACTCTTGGACTCAAGCGATTCTCTGGTCTCAGCCTCCCCAGTAGCAGGGACTACAGGCACCCAGCTACAACACCTGGCTATTTTTTAGAGATGGGGTGGGGGGGTCCTCACACTTGCTCAGGCTGGTCTTGAACCTGTGACCTCAGGCAATTGATCTGCTTCAGCCCCCCAGAGTGCCAGGACTACAAGTGTGAGCCACCGTGCCCAGCCTTGACACATACATATCTTGTTAAAAACAACCAACCAACCAACCAACCAACCACAGAAAGCCAGATTGTTAGATAATTATATCAAACACTGCTTTTCCTCTTACAAACCTGAATATGACTCCTTTGGGAGCACAGAAGAGAACTTCCTTAACACAAAAGGAGGTGTTTAAAATATTTCTATTTGTATTTCATTCCAAATTCTCCTTAGCATATTTCACCGGCCTATTTTATGAACATGACAGTATACATAGAATAAAGCTTTATAGAGTCCAGACACCAGTTTAGATATTTAAAATGTAGGGCATTTCTCAGGAGCTAGTCACTAAATGTTTAAAAAATAAATTCATTATCACAAGAAAAGAAAACTACAGGTCAGTATTCCTGATGAAAAATGAAGCAAAAATGTTCAACAAAATACAAGCAAACCAAATTCAACAGCATACTAAAAAAATTATACCCTGCTGAACAATTTAGATTTAAACCTGGAATGCAAGGAAGATTCCCTTTAAGAAAACCAATCAATATATAACAGAATGAAGAAATAAAATCACATGACCATCTCAACTGATGCACAAGAAATACCTGACAAGATTCAACACCCTCTCATAAGAAAAACACTAACAAACTAGGAACAGAAAGAAACTACCTCAGCATAATAAAAGTCATGTATGAAAAGCCCACACTTAAGTGATACTTTGATAGTGTAAGACTGAAAGTTTTTCCTCTAAGAAACAAGGAACAAGGAATGGATGTCTATTCTTTTTTTTTTTTTTTTTAAGGAGAATTTTATTTATTTTTATTGAAAAGTACATTTATTTCAGGTTAATCTGTGGGTAGAAACAACCAGGTCAAAATATTTGATTTTCTATTCTTGACTCTTCAACATAGTACTGGAAATCCTAATTAGAGTAATTAGATAAGAAAAAGAAATAAAAGGCAATAAAATTAACCCTAAACCTATTAACTAATAAATGATTTCAGCACATTTGTAGGATGGAAATCAATACACAAATGAGTTTTCTTTCTATTAACTACTAATCACCAGCCTAAAAAGGAAATTAAAACAGCCCATTTACAATTGCATCAAAAAGAATAAAATACTTAGAAATAAACTTAACTAAGGAGGCAAAAAAGTTGTACACTGAAAACTGTAAAAAGTAAAAGAAATCAAAGATGATATAAACAATGAGAAATGTTTATAGACTGGAAAACTTAATGTCGTTAAAGTGCCCATATTATGCAAATAATTTATAGATTCAATGCAATCTCTATCAAAATCTCAATGGCAATTTGTACAGGGAAAAAATATCCTCAAATTCATAGGAATCAGAAAGTCCTAAATTACCAAAATCTTGAAACTGTGTTAGAGACCTCACCTTTCCTGATTTCAAAATATAATACAATGCTACAGTAACCAAGATGGTGTGGTATTTGCAGAAAGAAAGACATATAGACAAATGGAACAGGGGGTCCAGTAATAAACTCTTCCTTATATGGTCTAATCATCTTTGACAGGATGCCAAGACTACACAATGTGGAAAGGACAGTCTCATAAACAAACAGTGTTGGGAAAACTGGATAGACACATGCAAATGAATGAAGTTAGGCCATTACACCATATATAAAAATTAACTTAAAACACATTTAAGACCTAACTGTAAGACCAAAAAGTATAAAAATCCTAGAAAAAAACACAAGAGAAAAACTTCAGGACATTGGATTTGGCAAAGATTTCATAGATATGATACCAAAACATAGGGAACAAATGCAAAAGTAGACAAACGGGATGATTTCAAACTTAAAAACATCTGTCCGTCTAGAGAAACAATCAATAGAGTGAAAGGCAACCCATAAAAGGGGAAGAAATATTTTCAAATCATATGTGTGATAAGGGTTAGGATTCAGAGTATATAGGGAACTCTTACAATTCAACAACAATAGCAACAACAAAATAACCTGATTAAAAAAATAAGTAGAGGACTTAAAACAACTCTCCATATAAGATATACACATGATCAAAAAACATATGAAAAAATTATCAACATCACTACTCATAAGATAAATGCAAATAAAAGCCATAATGAGAAATTGGGACCCTTGCACATTTTGGGGGGGACTGTAAAATGGTGCAACCATC